GAAAGCTCTTATCAAAAACAATATTTTCTCACGGGCCATGACTGCTCGGATTAGAATGCCCCGTGTGCTTTATGTTCCTGCAGAACCTTTGAGTTCAAGTTTCTGAGAGCTTTCTTTATATTGAAATTTATGTTCTAACGATTATGGTCAGAACTATTATTGCGCGTGGAAAATTTAGCGACCACCCAAGCATGGTCTCGAAGAATTGAACTGTATGAACAATTTCATATCTGGTTCTGCGGGTCAATGAGCCCCTCAGCTGCATTCCATAAACGCAAGGTAGACCTTTAGCTAAAAAACGTTTTACAGCGGAGCTGTTAAGGGCTAGGTTTCCGAGGATCGTGTCCGGTACAAAACACTTGTCGACAAAAATGGCTCCGCTCTGGACAGCTACCGCCATCTATAAGCGACGGCGGCAAGCACTCAACCAGTATGGTTGCCGCCGCCGCTCGTAGATGGCGCCCACCTTTCCAGCTATCTAGGGTGCCTGCATGTCTGTCTGTCTCAGGGTGAAGACATCTATTGTTGCCCTGAATCTGCCAGCGCGTGACGCTCTCACGGTCCCGGTGCGTGACTAGGGCGGTAAAATGGCGTCTATGCATTAGCCAAAGCTAAGCGCTCGAGCTGAGTGACACCGGATTGCATGCACTTCAAAATGCATAAACAAACGATTGGGCGGAAAGATGGCTGAGATGTCACCACTCAAGCAAAAGCGCGCGTGTGTATGAAGGCACTCTACAGCTATCATAGAACAATGGAAAGAATGGAATGGAAAGTGGGAATTCATCGTAGGAAACAGCGCGAGAAACAGACGACGTCAAAGAAGAAGCACACGCAAGGAGCGCAGCGCTCGTCACGTGTGTTTCTTCGTCCTCGTCTATTTTGCGCGCTGTTTCCTACGCTCTTATCAGTTTCGGTTTGGACTCAGGATGGGTCAGCCGCGCGCCCTTTCGGGGAAAGAAGACTGGCTGCGGAAGGAACGGCGACGTACACAGCAGCGCGAATGGGTCCGTAACCGCCGCAAAGCCGCTGTCGCCTCGACTTTCACTGCGTCGAGCGCTTCGGATTCCCCTGCCAAAGAAGAGCACATCACTCGCCTGGAAAGCAGCCACCGAGAACAGAACCGGCGATGTAAAGGGCGCCGGCGGGCCAACGCCACGGTCGACGATCGTCCCACGGAGGCCAAGCGCAAGCGCAAGGCTCGGCGACGACTGCAGTCCACGCCGACTGAACAGTTTTCGGTCGCGACGGCGATGTTGCGGAGGGAGTTCGTGGATTACCCGTTTGGCGTCACGTGCGCCGTGTGCCACCGACTTTGGTCGCCGGAGGCGAATCTACGATCGGCGGCGTTTTGGACGAAAAGAAGCGGGAAACGGGCGCGTGTGTTTTGCGGCAGTGTATCGAGTACGCAGCTCCGCTGGTCTTCCTTCTTCAAGAAAGTGCAAAGGCTGAACGTTTTTTTTTTTTTTTTATAGAACCATTCAACGGTTGAAGAGCGGAGGGTCGTTGAACAGGTGGACAGGTTGTTTTCGTTACGAGGTCTACGAGGTTTTGAGTAAACCGCGCGCAGAAAGAGGTTTGGCAGTACTCTTTTAACCGATGTACAAAGTCAAGCTCATTTAAACGACATGATAAAATATAACTAGATTTTTTGTACTATCGGGGAAAAATGAAATGCGAACAGAGGAGCGCGTGGCTCGCGGTACAGGCTGCGCCACCTGGAAGTGAGCCTAGGGGCGAGGGTGCGTGGCCTACTCCGATGTGTTCACGCCCTTCGCTCTGCGCTCCCCATGCTTCGGCAGTGCGCCTCTCAGTGCGCTGAGAGCTATCACCGCTATCTTTGCTCGCTCGGCGTGTGCGGCGAGCTTCTTCGCACCGCACGCGCTGAGCCAGCAAAGATAGCGGTGACGCTTGCAGCGTACTGAGAGGCGAACTGCCGAAGCTTGAAGAGCGCTGAGCGAGGGGCGTGAACACATCGGAGTAGGCCACGCACCCTCGCCCCTAGGCTCACTTCCAGGTGGCGCAGCCTGTACCGCGAGCCACGCGCTCCTCTGTTCGCATTTCATTTTTCCCCGATAGTATGTTTTCTCGTCTTTTTAGATTGTTTCCAACTGTTCGTTGAAGCTATTATACCAAAGCCTGAGGTTTATAGACTCCACAGTGCAGCTGTATAGAGATTTTCCTTTGAATAAATACGACAAAAAAGGTAAAACAATATTTATAGCCCGTTGTTTACGACGACATGGGCAATAAATGATAAAAGTTAAAATCAAACATTGTTGAGAAAAGGAATACATTCAAAAGATTATTTTAAAATCAGTTTTAGAACATCAGAAGCAATATTTAACTTATTCGACCCTGTTTATCTACACGAACAAAATACTACAAAATAGTTTTCATTTATGGTTACTTACCGACATGAGCTTCATGGCGTGGCCCCCGATTGCTTGCTCCCGCCATTCAAATTTAATGCAGGCTTGACGTAGGATGTAAGCATGACCTGTAGACGCGACTAAGCGGTACATTCTTTATAAAGGCGTACCTAATAATATTGAAATGTGGTGTCATCTATATCACAAACCCGCTTAGCGTACTTCTTCACGTAAATTTGTGTATTTCAAATTTAGACAATACAGAATTGCCTTGGAGCTGTAGCAAAAGGCAAAAGCAAATGTCTCCTGACTGGGCCCCTAGCACAAGACTACACTTGCAACACGAGCAAAACTACAACACAGCAACGCAAATACAACATGAAAACTGCAAACACACTAGTATATACAAAACACACAACGCAACAACAATTTGAAATAAAAGGCATTGAAGCCATTAAAGCCCATAAAAAGTCAAGTAACATGATTTAGGAAATACAGCTTTGATTGTCTCCTGAAAGTCAGGGTAAATGTTGAGGATCGAGGTTTTGAGTTTGCCAATTTAATAGTTTTTGCAAAATGTCTATGTCTAAAATTGAAGTCTGCCTAACATAAATGGCATACGACGACGACAAGCATGATAAGCCGCGGCATGGTTAGCGTTTTCCTTGTTTTTCTTCGGTTTTCTTTTTTTTCTTGTTTTTCTTTGTCACCTAATATTTCAGCGATTGTTATTGTAAATAAAATACTTTTCTACGAGAGTTACAAATATGAACACTGACTCCCCATGGCCTATCAGTGAAGGCGGCCTGATTGAACAAAGATCTTCTTTTTAGCTAGGGATAATGTTTTGTGGTGACACCTGATATTGCTAAAATTATATAACAGAAAACGCATCATGGCAAAGTAGTTTTTTATTCGTTATTTTTTTTTTTTTTTTGCAAAATCTTTTACAATTGATCTTTGCGGCAAAGACAGCCTTCCTGAACCGGAGATTGGGATTCAAGGTGACTTATTATGCTGCTCGTCCCGAGAAGACATCAAAAGAAGGTCTGCCAATATTTATATTCCAGCACGCGGGGCTAAGCAAGCAACGCTCGGCCGTGGACTTCTAGAAGGTTCGCGTTTCTTCAAACTCAGGTCGTAACTTTTAGAATTTCTTCCGACTTGTTCTCGAAAGTGCCTGTTCATTCTCACCCCAAACGCTCGACGTTCAAACCTTCTGGGCAGAAGGTTCGAGCGTCGAGTGAACCTTTGAGATGCTTGTTGTATCAGCGATTTTGTATTCTACGCTGGCCTTGTCATGTATCAGCAGTGCGGAGCACACGTTATCGCCTGCCGTGATAAGCAGCGCCGCCGGGTAACCTTTTATTCGTTTTTACTTATATAAGAGATACGCGAACTGTATAGACAGCAGATGCTGTCTGGCAATAAACGTGTTAAAACAGACTGCGTTGTCCTACGTAACAATTCTGACACACGCTAGATAAGGAGCTGCGCGGAACTTTGTGGAGTCAGTCTTGCTCTCGCTTGCTCTTACGCCGCCAAATTGCCGCCCGCTTTCTGCTGTTTCGACGCTCGCTCTTTATTTTGTTTGGCACAAGTTTACCCATTAAATTATTATTCTCAGTTGTGGGCAATCCACCACAAAGAGAAAAGAAAATAAATACTGCATTTTTTTTAGAAACTCTACCTCGAGTATTTTGTAATTTTAGGTTCCTTACATGTTTGGGGAAAATAAGAGGCCTATTGAACTGGTTGTCTCAAAAATATAACAAAATGCACGTCGAGCAATATTTATATCCGGTAAATGTTAACGTAAAGAGCATCCAACAAAATAAAAATAAAATTATGACATTTACTAGAACATTTATTTCAAAATGTGAAGAATTTAGATTCTTAGCAAGTTTAGGGCAAGATAAAATAATATTTTCATATTGACCAACTCGAACAATATATCGTAAGATAGCTTATGTTTAAAGCTACATACTGAAAGTTTCTTTTTTTTATGTCAGGGTTCTTAACGGTTCAGATTCTATGACAATTTGGAAATGAGGCAAAATCACTCGCAGTACCAAGTTTGCGATTTTGTAGAAAAAATAAAATAATAGTAACCATAAAAACTTGAAATAAACGCTTTATTTCTAAAGATAGTTCGCAATCGTCCTTAAAAATTGAAGATATGTTAGCACAGTCAATAAACTCCACAAATTACAAACAGCGGCCAAATTTGCAAAAAACAAAAAAATATCAAACCGAGTTTTTAACGCATTGCACCAGGTGGCACTCCAGAATGTTTGCTATGAAACTCTTGAGTTGTGATTTCTTAAAGCACAGTTTCGTTCATTCTTGGACTTAACCTATCATTTATATTTATATTTCTTTTATTCCGAACCCCTCCCCTCCCTCTCCCTGACAAGATTGGTCAAATTCAAATAAAACCACCCAATCGAAAATGCCGAACCTTAACTTCACGTGAACCTGGTTTCTTCACATGCGCAATGTCTATACCCGGGGTAGAAAAAGGCGAACTTGTTTGTAAACAGCATGTTGATCTGTATTGACCTATTTGGATTCAATGGCGCCGATGGACTTACAGCGACTAGCGCGCTATCCTTTTGCTTCGCGCAGGACGGCCACGTGACCGTGGAGGAGTTCAAGCAAGCTGTTCAGAACCTGTGCGTGGGCAAGACCTTCGAGCAATTCCCTCAACCACTCAAGCACGCCATCAACTGCAAGTACGCCACAGCGGACGCCAATGGCACGTATGCTTAACCTCTCATAAAGCAGCAGCCTCGCATTCTCGTGTATAGACTGAAAGCTTATCCGTCCATATTTTTTTTTCACGTAGGAAAACGTCATGAGCGATAAAGAAATCGGCTCTTTATACAAATAAACGCAACCGTTATATCCAGAATTGCGTTTCCTGAGGAACGCAACAGACACTGACGTCCAGTCATTCGTGATGATTGAAAACCTGAGACTGTGGTTTGAATAACAGAAAATCGTGAAGTAGAAAGAAAAGGGACAGACAACGTCTCAAACTCGGCTAAAAACTTTATTGCCTCTACGTCTTATATACACCTCCCCCGGACGTCGAACGTCGCCACCACCACAACAGTTGATCACTGAACTACTAACAAGAGACCGGAATGACAATACACCGAACCGCAACCAATACTAAAAAAAATCGTTATACAAACAGAAACACAAGTTCGTCACCACCGCACCCGGAAGGACTTGGACGCGGACAATGTAACACTAGCACTTGGAAACACAGAAAGACCGCCTCTAACTTAACCCCCCTTTCCCCTGAACTGAACCATGAATCACACACTGTCGCCAACAATATCCCCCATACGATCCCGAACCCAACAATGCAAACAACTGCGAAGTAGCCTCCTCCCCTTTTACGTTCACCCCACACTAGATCTTTACAGTCGAACAAACTTTTTTGACTCGCTTCCAATTTGCAGTGACGCTTGGCTAATGCGATTTCTCCATGTTTTTATGCGAACAGTTTCTCGCACCACACGTATCATCTCCTTACGCTCTTTGTGTACGATTTCTGTCTCTGACCAGTTCGCTGTACATGCATTACACTCCTGGAGATGCCTCGCTAGTTCAGAGTTTGAAGCGTTGATTCGCACATTCCGTTTACATTCTGTCAGCCTATCGTTAATGCATCTTGCAGTCTGACCAACATATTTAAAGCCGCATTCCAAAGGAATCTCATACACTACTCCACTGACACATGGAACAGATCTGTCGCGATGCATTTTTTTACATTCTTTCTGTCCTGCCTCAAAAGGAGTCAGTTTAGCTCATTTGAAATCACATGTGAAAACGGTGTTAACCCCAAATCTTTCTGCACATGCCTTCAAGTTATGCGAAATGACGTGAAAATATGGAACGGCAGCCCCGTCGGTTCTTGACACTTCGCTTATCTTGCTTATCTTCGATCTGTAGAGCAAGCTGCCGTTTCATGAAGGATTCTTGATAGCCGGCCCTCTCCAGCCTTCCCCATTGTCGTTTCAAAGACTGCTCCATGTAATGAATTTATGACCTTTATAGAGCGTTTTGGGTCAGAGACTTCACTACCCCTGCCTTTACAATTTTAGAATGACAACTCTGCTTCAATAGGACGGGTTTTGGTGCCTGCTTCCCATATTCCCGACACAGCCTACTGCCCACATGAATGCGTAAATCCAAAAATTGAATGACATTTTCCTCCGGCTTTTCCACAGTGAAACACAGCATCGAGGCCGCTGAACTTATTACATTTTGTAGACTATCCGAAAGGTTATCGTCATGTATAACTTACACCAGCTCGCCTGCACTTTAACCGTGTTTTCATTGATCCTCCAGTCATTGCCTTCCGATCGCGACCCCGTCTGTTTTAGCGTTGCCATGTCTTCATGCTCCACCTTTTTTAAACAAAGATTTTCGCAGCTCTAGGTACTACGAGGGTAGAACGGCCTTGTTTCGCCCCCAGAACCAAGTCACAGACAAACCGCTGGAAATCGCCAAACTATTCGCTGCCCACTGCTCTTTGGTCAACGCTAGCATAACGGCGGACGGCTTGGATGGCTCCGAGACGAATGACCACCCTCAACTGCACATGCACAGCGGTTCTCAAAAGGGGACTCTCCTTCATCGGCTTCTCATGTGAGTCACTACGGCAGGCCATCAGTAAAATCAGGCCCACCCAAGGCGAGGGACCAGATGGAATATCACCTGCTTTTTTTCAAGATGGTCTCACTTCATGCTCTACCGTCGCTGTTGATGGTTTTCCCGGGTCTTCTGGATGAAGGCGTCGTGCCAGAGTCTTGGCGACGGGCCCTTGTTGCCCCTGTTCACAAAGGACATGGGAAACCCTCCAACAACCCCCGAAGCTATCGTCCTTTGTCGATTGCACCAATTGTGTGTCGAACTTTCGAGAGTGTCGTCAACTCATGCCTCCTGGACTTCCTCGAAAACACTTCACAGATATCGCCATTGCAACATGGGTTTTGTCAAAACAGAAGTCGCTACTCTGTCTCACTACATCAGCAACAACATGAACAACCGAGTGGCAGCAGACCTGGTGCAATAGCCCAATCTCACTGAGCGTTCGGCGCATGCGTGACGCCGCCATAACGTTAGCTCACAGGAGGCAGAAGGCAGTACACGAGAGGGCTCGTGCTGTCTCGTGCTCTGCACGCCAAGAGCTCCAGCGGGGTTGTCGCGCGTGAAAAAAACACTGAAGTTCCCTCGATGGACTGCGGCAGCGGTGGCGTAGTCAAACTTGCTGGTGAGATCGGTCTATTCGACTTAACAAACGCTTTCAACACCCTCAACCTAATTATCTTGAAGCGGACATTGGGTGGGGCAGGCATAAGCGGCCCTTGGCTGGTGTGGCTGTGTGACTTTGTTGCAGACCACAGCCAGCAGGTAGTATACAGGGGCACTCGCTCTGATGAGTGGAAGGTTAAATCAGGCGTACCGCAGGGCTCGGTTCTCAAACCGACTTTGTTTCTTATACGCGTAAATGGCATGCCGCAGAGCGAGAGGCTTCTGGTGGCCCAGTATCCTGACGACACCTCCATCCTGTCGCCCGCCTCTGACCCCAGTAGCTGTCAGCACCTCCAGGACTACCTTGAGGGAGTGGAGCATTGGGCCCTTACCAACGACCTCCATCTGAGTCCCAGCAAGAGCGGCGTAATGCGTTTCAGTGCCAGCAGGAAAACTGAGTCACCTGCATACAGACTTATAGGTGCCAATCTGGTGCCCTGCGAGACGCTCACCATCCTTAGAGTGGTGTTCTCTCCAACGCTGGATTTTTCAACCCACATCGCTGGTCTCCATTTTCCACCTTTTTCAAAAAAAGATTTTCGCAGCTATACGTACTGACAAGGGTAGAATGGCAGAGAAGCTTCAGTTGTTCCGCCTTCGGCAACGCTTCAGCGTCTCGTGAGTGGGTCTTCAGAGCGGAGCCTCAGACAACTGCGGAAGACCGTAGCGAAATATTCTCGTAGCGACTCCTCCGTCTCGGTGTACCCTCTTCTGCCTCCTCAGTTTTCGCGCTTGGTTGCTGTTGTCACGAGCTCTCTTGGCAGCCGGCCATCTTCCACTGACAAGGATGTCGCGATGCGGCGCTGCGAGACCTGAAATATAGATGCACGCTGGGTCAAAGAGATAGCAACACGCATAGCCTCATGCATACGCGGCCAAATTTCGACACTTGGTACTGGAGTTAGCAAATTGGTCGGCTTGTCCTAGTCGAATTTATTATTCGCGCTGCGGCCAGTTTTTGCCCGCGATTCTTGTGGTAATTCTACTCGGATTCGATTCTGGCGGCAAAATCCGTCGGTCTCTTTTCCGTAAAATGATCATTTACCGGATCTCTTGTAAGGGTGTTTAATTGACAGGCGCTAGTGAGAGTGCGTCGTTCAGATCACGTTTTTCTTTCAAGAGCCTGAAACGTACTGCCACTTTTCGCCCGAGCTCCAGGCGGCCAGAGAGAACATAAGTCAGACTGTAAACGCTATCTTGACACCCACTCGAATCGCAGCATGAGCCTTGGGATGCCGACTCGCAGAGGAGCCGCGTGTCGTTTATTGCCTCCCACGCACCATACAATCGCTGAGTGAAAATTAAATAAATGAGAAGAAATGAAATGACTTCGTGAGTCATCCGACAATTTAAAAAAACAGCATGCATACTTTTTTATTATTCAAAGGTGAGATGTGTTAAACCGTTTTTGTTGAAATATTACCCACTTCGTAAACAAATATCTCTTCTGTCACGCGTCCCCTAACCTTTTCACTTCAACACATATAGCGGAGTAATTGACCTCAAGTATACACTCTAAAAACGGGTATTACTTTACATCCTTTTGTCCTATATAATACACCCCAAAACTTCATTTCGACGTATAGCGCCCTATAGTCCAACAGGCAACCCCGAATTTTACGAGGGGCTTGATATTGACAACGGTGGGATATAACTTGTTAAATAGCTAAAGTGCGTATCAAAGACCACAAAAAGAAAACACCTAGTTTTTGCAGTTGGGCTAAGAAAACTCCGATAATTTTTTTTGTAGTCAATAACACGTACATTGGCTATCTTAATAAGTTGTACCACACTGCTATCAAGTCCCTCGTAAAATTTGGGGCCGCCTGTTTGATTATAGGGCGCTGTACGTTAAATTGAAGTTTTGAGGTGTATTATATGGGACAAAGGGTGTAATAATACACCCTTCTTTCTGAGAGTGATACACCGTTACGAGACTCGTTCAAGCTACAACTATTTTCATTTCTAAAAATAACTTCTCCGGAATGATGCCAAGCAAAAACCAAAAAGGAATTGAGCGGATTGAGGAAAGGGGAGGAAGATAACGGTGGGAGCTTGAAGAAGCCTCGTGAAAAATTGAGTTGTTCACAAACTCACAGAAAAACACTTAATTGTGATGCAGATATGTGTGGTACTGAGAAGGATGGTTAGTGCCTTCCCTGAAGCCCCTGGTGCATTCTGAGTTAATAATCTTGTACCATGGGGAGACTGGTGTAGTACCGTTGTTTCGAACAAATGACGTAAGAAAACAGCTTCTTTGACCTCCAAAATATTTTATTACTATGCATTACAGAAATAAGTATCAAATAAATTACACAGTTCACGGGCAAATTGAGACCTCATCATCGCGGCAATAACTATAATTTATTGAACATCAGCAAAAACAAAATAAAACAATTTTGAATGTGCGTTGCAAGGTTACTCAAA